AAACATGTCGGATGCACTTTATTTTGATTTTAATAAATTGTTATGGTTTGAAAACTTGGGGGGTGGGGTGGGGTGGGGTGGGAGGATGACTGGTGAGCAACGACTATGGAAAATATATACTAATATACTATACACCCTCTGCCTGCACGAGGAGAATTTAATATAGTTAGTTTGGAGATCCAAAAACCTAGCTTTCATCAAGTCACTACCCCCATAAGTTTTTTGCACCAACTATTTGTCTATTTGACCATATAAGTACAGATCCAAGAAAATGAGTCCATATTTGAAAAGATTACGTGGTAGTTAATAAACAAACAAAGAAAAATGTTGAATATCTATAGCAAGGCTCATCAATCTGCATTGTTATCAAACATCTGCAAACTCCTATTGTAGAACAATACCAATCCACATTTATCATTCAAGAACTATGACCCAATTTGGATTATTACACCATCATGTGATAAATGAGAAAACAAAACCAAATTACAATCCATCATTATTGTATATGTATATCAGCATCATTATTTCCATTCATCAAACACAAGAGGAACAGAGTAAACACACACTCATAAACAAACACAAACAACATAACACAAGGAGAAATCAATCAATCAATCAATTGTCCCTGTAAGCAATATAATCAGCCAAAGCAAGCAAAGGCATGGCCCGAACCTGATCAAACCCAGCCAACTGCTCCCGGGCTTCCCTATTCAACCTCTCTGCAAACTCCCTCGACTTTTCAATCCCGAGCAGCTTCGGATAAGTCGTCTTGTCCGCCACCAAGTCCTTGCCAGCTGTCTTGCCGAGCTCGTCTGAGCTTTTCGTGACATCGAGTATATCATCCACCACCTGAAACAAAAGCCCAATACACCTCGCGAATTTTCTAAGCTTTTCGACTTCCTCATCGTTTGCCCCACCAAGAATTGCCCCAAGTACAACAGAACCCTCCAAGAGGGCCGCTGTTTTATGAAGGTGAATGAATTCCAGATGGTCTAATCCAACCTCAGACATACCTTCCGAGCAGATGTCGACCACTTGACCGGCAACGAGCCCCTCGGAGCCGATGCAGCGGGCAAGCTCGCCCACCACGCGAACGATCCTTTCCGGCGGTACACCTTTGGTGGCGGTGGCCATGTGCTCAAAGGAGAAGGCTAGGAGGGCGTCTCCGGCGAGAACGGCCACGTCCTCTCCGTAGATCTTGTGGTTGGTGGGTTTACCCCGGCGGAGGTCGTCGTCGTCCATGCAGGGGAGGTCGTCGTGCATCAGGGACATGGTGTGGATCATCTCGACGGCGCAGGCGGCGGGCATGGCGGTGGCCTCGTCGCCGCCGGCGAGCTCGCAGGCGGCTATGCAGAGGACGGGGCGGACGCGCTTGCCGCCGGCGAGGAGGGAGTAGCGCATCGATTCGTGGATGCGGAGGGGCTCGCGGAGGGGGACGGCGGCCTCGAGGGCGGCGTTGACGGAGTTGGCTTTGTCGAGCATGTAGCGCTTGAAATCGAAGGCGGCGGCGGCGGATTTTTCGTTATCTTTGCCCTCTTGCTCCTGCTGCTGCTCCTTCGTGAGGATTGCGGATGGGGTGTTCGATGAAATGCGGATGGGCTTCTTGGAGGGCTTCTTAGGGGGAAAAAAAGAGATGGGGAAGACGGATCTGGAGCTCAGGACTTGGAAATCAATGGCGGATCTTCTTTGCGTCCATGTCGAGACCGGAGTCACGAGAGTGCTCATGATTTTGTTCTTTTTTTCCAATTGTCGGAGAAAATTTGAATGAAAACTTGGTTGGGGATGAAGAAAAAGAGAGTGGTGCTAGGAAATTTGAAGGAGGATTTTCTTCTGCTGTCAGATAATTGTAACACCCACCATGGACGACGGCGACGGGCAGTCGAGGAGATTAAAAAAGAAGGTTTTGTGGGGAGATTGAGTTACTAGTGTGTAAATCGAGGATTGGGAATTAAATATTATAGAGATATTGGGACGTGATTAGTAGTGCCAAATTTTCAGGCTTTCTTTCATTATTTTACTCTGGTTTTAGCCTCACTACGGCTTGGAGTTGCGTACCATTGACTTTGACGGAAATTACTATATTCTTTTTCCTTATAAAATGATATGAATAATATTAGGCCATGTTCGCAGGCATTTAAAAGTCGCCGTAAGAAAGGTTGTATATATACTAATTTGCGGGTTAATAGAAAGGATAATTTGGAATTAATCTATGTATAATAATCCATCCGAAAAGGTGTGTTTAACGACAATTTAAACATTGTTTTAAAACTTAGATCAGACTGGCAGTTCGATTTAGGATTCGGTCTGAGACCAATCTGGGTGGATAGTTCAGGGTAGCAACTCAATTAAAACTCAGTCAACAAGGCCATTAAATATATAAATTTTTAAATTTTTTTAAGTTTTATAAATAAATTTATGTATACACATTTATGTGGTAAACTTTATGACAAATTACAATATTAATAAGACTTGAATATAAAATTTACATTTAAGTTACTTATTTTTATATATTTACGTATAGTTATTAGATAAAAATAATATAAATATAATTTAAAATTTTTTAAATTTAATTATATGGTTCAACAATTGATTCAGAGACCCAATTTAATTTGATATGGGGAAAACTTTGTGACTGCTAGAGTATGTGATTGAGGAAAGCTGGGAATAGGTTGTCTGAATGGTTGAACTTCAAGAATCATATATGTTGCTCAACAATAAGAGCATGGTGGAGGAAAAAAAGGAAGACCCTTGTGGAGAAGGTGGTGTTGTTGCAGTTCACTTCCCTGTGTATGCCTTTTTTTCAACTAATTCTAGTTGGATAGTGATATGGGATACCACACCCAGTCACCCTAACTAATGAGACCAAACAGCTAGACCGGGTTAACAAGGCAGCTCGGGCCAAGATCGACTTGAAGGCGATAACCAAGTCGACGATGACCTTCCGAAAGAAGAAGTCAACCACAAGATAAGCTCACGCTGAGATCGAGGTTTGGTCGAGTCGATCTCATGAGCAACATAAGAGCTAGAGAAGAAGATGTTTTAATTAACGAATGTTCTACATGATGACGTGAAAATGATACCGCGGCAAGACAAAATAAATCTAACTACGAACTACGCCATAGGAGGATTGTACCGCATGTCGCAACAGGATTGGTAGCTTGCATACCTGACAAGCCTAACAGTCTCAGACATTGTAGGTCATATGGACGGGCAGCTTGAGCAGCAGGGTTAACCCTCCTAGCAAACTCGGAGAGCAAGACATCACACCCCTATAGAAGGGGATGTGGCAAGTTAGTTTTGGGGTTACATTCTCTACACACACTTTACATACGAAATCATTGTTCATCATCCTTTCATTGACTTAGGCATCATAGCTTCTTCGTCGGAGAACCCCCTTTTGGTGTTGAGTTCTTGCAGGTGAGAGGCCGGCCTAGGTAGAAGAAGACACTTCTAACTTCTAAGTAGGGGTGTGCATAATCGACCGAACCGACCGAAACTGACCAAACAGAAAATTTCGGTTTGATTTTTATCCGGCTCGGTCGGTTTTCGGTTTTCAGCACTTAATTGTTCGGTTATTTCGGTCGGTTTCGATTTTCGGACTTCAATGTCCGAAATAACCGAACCAACCGAATAATATATTTATATATTATAATATAATATTTCAATACCTAAAATCCCTAATCATAAGCATCAGGCAGAATACATAGTACAGAGAAAAAGAAAAACCCGTCGGTCTCTTCTCCTCTCCCTACTCTCTTCTCCAATTCCTCCGTCGTCCCCAAATCTTCCGCCGCCGGCGCGCCGCTACTTCTCCCTAAATCGACCCAATCTGAATCATCCCCCAATTTACCAAATCGTCTTATCCGATCGATTCAAGTAGCTGCGTCTGCGACTCCTTGTCGCCGGTCGTCGATTCGTCAGTCGAGGGCGCTGAGCTTGGAGGTTTCGGCCGGGCACACAATTGTTCACCTTCAAGGGAGAAATTCTTCTCCCAATTTTTCGTCTCTCTCCCAAAACTCAGTTTCATTATCAAGGTAAAGTCTTTTTTGTTTTATTTTATAATTCCAGACTTGTAGTGAAGATCATGTATGTTTGTGAATTGTGTGATGTTTATGTTGACTGTATGTGTTATATGATTGTGAGATTTATTTTCTGATTAGAGAATAGAATACTTAGTTCTGAATTCTGATTTGGATAGTTGTACAGAGTACAGATAGTTGTATTGTAGTTCTAAGTGTGCTAGTTCGAGCGAAGGTCGAGTCACGTCTGTTTCACTATTAGATAGGAATTTATGTAATCAGTGAATGTATTTCTTGAGTTTAATATGATGTTTGTAGTTTGGAAAATAAAAAAGAATATTGGTTTCCTCACAAAAAAAAAAAAAAGAAGGGTAAATAACCGCACCCAAAAGTGAAAATTGGTTTCGGTTTCCCCAATTTTATATATAACGACCGGTTGAATTATTACTTCGGCCTAGCCCAAATTTCATATTATCAGACGGTTGTTTCGGGGTGAAGAAGAAGATCGAAGAATCACCATGCGAAAGCAAGTCCTATCCTTAACGGAAGCCGCGGCTGCTAGAATACGCCAACTCCTTGAGCAGCGCCAGCGCTCTTTCCTCAAGCTCGGTGTCAAGGCTCGAGGCTGCAATGGCTTATCATACACCCTCAACTATGCTGGTTTGCAATTCTCTCTGTCTTTCCATGTGTATCATTTGTAAAATGTTTCACTGTTTCCATGATATGATTTGATTATTAGGGTAAGAATTGAAGCGAATATGTCGACATTAATTTAGGTAGTTGTAAATGATGCCGGTTGAAATTATTTAGCTATATCTTTCTTCCTGTTTGAACCCCTGGATTTGTAACTTTGTGAGGTTATGGTCAATATTGTGTTCAAGTACTCATCTTTTCCCCCCAAATATTTGATAGAATTTTGTTATATTAGCATTTTTCTGGTATTCATGTCCTTACTACCTTTGGTTTGTTATACATCTGTTAGTTTTTTTTTCTGGTATTAGCAAATTTGATGAGAAATTGTTGGAGGGAGATGCATAAGGTTTGTCTTATAGGTTGATTTCACCATGTAGTATGGTGCAACATGGGGCTGATTACCGAAAGAAGAAATGACTTATATTAAGACTCTGTTGATCTTCATTTGCATTACTTTGCCTAATGATGGAAAATAAATGTAGAACTGCTTATGGACAATGGAAATACAATTGAAGGAGTTTAAAGGATAGACTACTCTGATGGAAATTTTTGGAGGAAAAAATTATCAGTCTTAGGACAATGATTTTGGACAGCGTATTATTTGCTTAGACCATTTTATTCATCTGTAGACTTTGATGATCTTTATTCATACTAATGTCCTGGGTTTTCTGTCTTTGCTGACTCATTTCTTGCAAATCACTAAATTTTTTTATATTTCACTCACAGATGAGAAAGGCAAGTTTGATGAGTTGGTCGATGATAAAGGAGTCAAGATATTGATTGATCCAAAGGCCCTTATGCATGTCATAGGAACCAAGATGGACTTTGTTGATGACAAACTGAGGTGTGATCCTGTTCTCCACTTCCTATTGCATATTGCTACTTTTTACATATGATCACATACTTTGCACTTGTACTTCATATTTTGTGTATTACGATAAACTAACAGAAAAAATAAGTAGATGAATTTATTCTGTACATTACTACCTAGATCCCTTAGTGTTCCTAGTCAACATGGTTTTAGAAGAAAGATGTGGAGATTTATAAAGATGACTTCGATTCTCTAATATCCTTCCAAACTTAAAATATTGTGATCTCTTCTTTGCTTTTCTGTATTCGAAACAGAGTTTTGAAACCTGAAGTCAAATTCCATGCAATTCTGGTGCTCATTAATATGTTCAAATTTTGACATCTGTATTGTGGTCATGATCAGATCAGAGTTCATATTCATCAATCCGAATTCTAAAGGGCAGTGTGGCTGTGGAGAATCCTTTATGACAATGAGCAGCTCTGATGCAGCCAAGCGTGGCAGCAGCTCAAGCACTTAGGTATAATCAGCTTCATTTCCGTTCTATTACATATGTAGTAGTGTTGAATTGTGACACGAGTTTTTTCTCTTCCTTTATTTACTTTTTCTTAGGTGTGCTCGTCTGGGTGATGTAAATCAAATGTAAACATGCTTATTTAATCGAAAAAAACCATATGCAAACTTGAAATGACTCCTCTTCTATTTTTCCTTTCTGCTAATTGTGATGTAAATTGAATGTAACTGCTAACTTTTTGTCCTTTTTTTTAATCACTGCTATTTTCTTTCCTCGTCCAGCATACTTAAGCTGATCTTGTTTGCATTTTCAGTCACCTATTATGGCTTTAGGAATCGTTTCTCCTGCTGCCTTAATGTAACTGCCTTTTTTTTATTCCCATTGAGATTTGTTGGCGTAATTCTGGTGCTGGGACTCTCTCAGGTTTAGTTGCAAGTCACAACGGCCAAAAAAAAATAAAAAATCATGACAATAAAATCACATTATACATCGATAAGTAGGCAAACACATTAAACATGGCTCTACTAAATGTCCAACATAAAAACAGTAAAACACACACTCAACACAGATTGACAAATTAGATTTTCCATGCAAAACAGTTGATGGAAAATAAAGCTTGCTAGTTGCTGCAGTACAATGAAAAAGAAAAGTAATAATGTTTTGCATTGTTTTCCCGCCAACGTAATTATTGAGATTTTCCCGATGCATTAGAAAAGATCAGTGAAGCGGGCCCAGAATCTCGGTTCTGTTTAGCTGGCTGGGATAATCGGTCCTTGGACCATTCCTCCAAGGCTTTGCGGTGAAGAGCATTCATACGAATGGAAGGCCGTTTTTCTTTTACCATCTTCTCTGCACTTTTCCAATCTTCTGCCAAGCCAAGAGCCACAAGCAGCGCGCACATTACAGCCACACTACGTCCATGACCTGCAAAAATCACGATTCTTTTTTTTTTTTTTTTTTTTTTTTTAATAAGAATGTGATGCATCCAAAATCTATCCCTAAGGATTAAACAAATTACCAAAGAATCGACTCATTTTCAACTAAGAAATATCCACTCCTTGGGGGTTCTTTGTGATTATGATGAACCTCAGGGATAATTTCATAGTTAGCCCTTGAAAATATTTACAAGCTTTCACTCAAACACTAACTTAAATAGAATTAACCACAAGCATCTTCAGGAGAAATAGTACAATTACACAAGCAGCGAAGAATTCATGGATGTAGATATAATATGTGATTCGATGTTTGCACTTACTTTTTTCAAATGCACAAACTCCAGCAAGGAAATTTTTATACATATTATTGCACTTGAGACTTAAGTAGTTAAGTTGGAAAAACACTTGAAATATAAAGACGGGAGTTGATAGCCTGAAACCAGAAACTATCGACTGCACTTTATTAGGAAAAAGAGAGCTTTTTAATCGAATCGAATGCACCCCAACACAAGCAACTGAAGCCTTTAATTTACAACAATCAAAGCAAACTCATCCGCTCTTTTCTATTACTGGTGATATCATGCTTGCAAAATCAATCATAAGAATAGCATGTACTTCTGTTCATGCTTTTCATCCTACATCCATGTGTTGACTACAGACTTGCACAATTATTATGTACTTTCTTCTGCTTTCTTCTGTTATTTAAGCATTCAAACATACCAGTGGCAATGATATTGGAAATAATGAGAAAAAACAAATTTATTTCTACCATGGGTAACGTATGCAGCATTGTTTTCAAATCGTTTGAGGATTTAAGTCCCACATTATAGTTATCTCTCAGAAAGCATGCGCCTTCTTTTCTCTAGATGAACACAAAAGCCTTGAGTTGAAGCATGAACTTTTAGTTTTAACTCAAAAGGAAGTCGAGTGGAGCTCTAGTAACTAGGAATATATCTGTATAAGCTACCAACAACTAAAATGAAATCTAAAGTCTACTGGTTTTTAGTAACTTTTATTCAGATTTCAGTTTTGTCTGCATTCCAAAGTAAGAGAGAAATATGCACAGAGATTTGTGATTTTAACTTTGCCTGCAATCCAAAGTAATAGACTAATAAGAATAAGTGCTTGAACAGTGGCTAGTCAGTCATTCGAAACTTGAATTTTATTTTCAGGACCACTCATGTCATTTAACAGTGGCGTACTACCTGAGTTATATTCTGGTTTGCAACGCTGACTCAATAAGCAAGTGAATGAGTCCGTAGCTCAAAATTGAGGTCTTATTCTTCTAGTGGACCAATTTCTAAGGTCTGGATGTTATGAACTTATGATAGCAGAGTAAAGCTTCGGTGTTAATACTGTGAGACAAAATAAGGCTGAAAGGAGAAAAACTGCAAAAATATCCTTAGCTATAAATTAAACTTTGCCTGCAATCCAAAGTAACCGAAAATGGAAAGTTGTGTAGCTTTCACATCATCTGTTTCTAGATGTATGTAACAGAAATAACTGCAAACTTTGCCATCCGCTTTAAACAAGTAAAGCCTTTACTAAACTCAGCAACAAACTCATAATGTCACTTCTCACCTCCCTTACTGATTTATTTCCACACACTATGATAATGATAACATAACCAACTCATACACTAACCATTACACAAGAATAAAGTGTACAGATAATAATTAATAAGCACTGCAAAAATAACAAAAAACAACACCATAAACAGAACACATACCATATGCACAGTGAATAAACACCGGAACCTTCTGCGCCCTCTTCCTACAAGCCCAGTTCACAGCCCTCTCAATCTCAGCTGGGTGAGGGGAGCGTGTGTCCCACGTGGGAATGCACAGATAAGCATGCCCAGATAGCTCCTCCTTCCTGGGAAGCTCACAAGTGCAGTCGATAATGGCAGGTTTACCGGGCGGGCACTTTTCCGGCGAGTAGGGCCACCCACCCACATATAACCCTTCGAAAATCTCGGTGTACGGCGGATCTCCAGTGGTGAGCCTCCTGAGAGCTGAAAATGCTCTGACGAAATACAAATGTGGACTGAACAAAATCAATGACCAAATGGGTATTTTGCCATCTGAGCCCTTTCCGATGAGTATAGGGAGATTGATGTAGGGATGTGAAGCGATTGCAACAAGGAACGAAATCAGGGATGCATACAAAATGGGGACAGATAGCAAAATTAAGCCGAGTGTTCTGAGATATGCGAAGAAAATGAATAGAGCTGCGGCCTTTAGGCCTATGAGAACAGATAAACCCACACCCATTATCCAGACACGATACTGTATGTATTTTAACAACGATTGGACTTCAGCTAATGAAAAATTAGAATGGGGTTCCGAGAAAAAAAAATAAAAAAAAATAAAATTGGAACCTAACAAAAATCTATCAAAATTCTAGGATTATATTCGAATGGAGAAGAGGTCGAGACGAACATTGAAGGTGACAAGATTCTTTGTTTATGGTAGTAATCGCGGATCAGGTTCGGGTCAACCTACCCAGGCGACACTCAACCCTACCCTTTCTTCCTGTTTAATCTGCATAGCTCTGCATTAATTTAAAATAAACAAACATTATTATTATTGTTATTATTTTAAATCCAACCTTTGACGTGTAATAAACTATAATAATGACGCCAGAAGCCACCTAATTTTGTCTCTTTAAACTAAAAAATATCCTGTCATTCTCTCCCAATAATTCCCTTGTGCAGTACCAAACTGTTCTTTCTCACGCACACAACACAATCAGCAAAGTACAATGGCGATGGCGACTGCCTTCTCCAGCTCTTCTTTCACTGTATTTCACTCTAAACGCTCTGAATCATCCCTCCCTCTTTCGAGTTTTTGCATTCTTCCGTCAAAGTCCACTCTCTACCTTCCAGTCGGGTTGCGTTTTGATTCTTCCAGTCAGAGGTAACTCCTGTATTTCCCCCCTTTCTGGCTGGCTCGGTTTCCTTAGTTTCATTTATTACTTTTAGTTCATATCTTAGACGAATTTAGAATGTTCAGTAGTTGAAAACTGTTTGTTTGATGGTTTGTTTGAAGGGTTAATGGGTTAAGGATATGATTTGATTAGTCGTCTATTCATCTTTTATCTTTTTTTCTTTCTTTTGTTCTATGGATGACTTGGTTCAAAATGTTCTGTAGGCATGTACTGATGCATGCCTCTATTGATGGGGTGGATTCGATTGATTCAATTTCATTGGTAAGTCGAATCTGTCATATGAATAATTGTTGATTACTGGTAAAATGTTATTATGGATAAATTTGACTTATGGAAATTATGATTGTAAGATGTTCCCAATTAGGATTCATCTTTTCAGGTCTAAATAATCCTTTTCAGGTTTGAAATGCTTGCGAGGAATGAATTCATTCTTTGTTTAATTTTTTCTTTAACTTCTCTCTATGTCCTTAAGTTAACTCAAAAGGTAACTTGGTAACACTACTCTTCAGGTAACTAGTGTTTCGTGGTGATTATGTTCCTTATGGGTAAAGCTGTAAGTATAATTGTGGAGTTGACATCTGACTTAATCATATAATGCCCTTTTCTCAAGATGAAACTCACATTCTTGGATGTTTCAAGAATTACACTTATGGACTACTGTATGGAAGTAATTTCAGGATTGAAGTGATGATTACATGAAGTTGGAAAGATAATAAGTTAATTTTACTTGTATCTTGAATGACTGACTGTTAAATGCTTTACCATTTGTTTCATGGTTTAGTAAATTTACAAATATTTGATGTGAAATCTGTTTCGTAGTTAAGAAATGGAAAAAAAAAAAACAAGTAATTGAGTGTATTTATCATAATAGAAGCACCGAGAACAAACTAAATTCTCAGTGCAAGCTTTTGAAAGGATAGGAAAGTTTTATCTTTTCCCTCTCATCTTGTCTTTAGAATCAGACATCAACCATAAACCACAATCTGCTAAGGGGCAGTATAAGTTAAAAGTGAAATGTTTTCCCAGTAATCGAATTCTCATGCTCTTAGTTAGGAATTCCTTTTCATTACACAAGTTGTTAGTATCACAGACTGAGTTTATGTTCCTTTATTCATCTATTGTTCTCCTTTTTTTGTTTATTTTATTTATAACAAATTTTGCGTGAATTAATGGCATTCGGATAGAGTAAGCTTTAGTTTAGATGATAAGATGAATTATTCGAGATCTTCCTTACAGTCTACATTTCACCTAAATCTGTCTAGTCTATTTTATCCCTCTCCCAACCTTTTGTTTGGTTAATAACTAATAACATAACTTATTTCCAATACAGAATTCTAAGCAGGAGAATGATTATGTTCCAATGCCCATTGTTCTGATAGATCAAGACACTGATCCTGATGCAACCATTGTGCAAGTTAGTTTTGGAGATCGACTTGGTGCTCTTATTGACACGGTAAAAAGATTTTTTTCCCTTCTGTGCATATTTATTCAGCTATTTGTAGTATAAGTAATGTTATTTGCCACTGCAGATGAAGGCGCTCAGAGACTTAGGCTTGGATGTTTCCAAGGGAACTGTTACTACTGAGAACTCTGTCACTCAAACCAATTTTTTTATCGCACGACGGTAAGACATAACTTTATCAGGTCTTTTTCTGGCCCACTGCTCACAATTGATGTAATGTCAGGAAACAGAGTTCACAAATGATAATTTCCTACGAGTAATGAATTAAGAAAAGACATGGCATAGGTTGAATTTGAATTCATATCCAAAATATCCATTGTTCATTTGAACTTCAATATCCTGGTGGAAGTAATTTTATCTGGATGTATCATTGGATTTTCATTTTGGTTGTATGAAGGGACATGATATCTTAAGCGAATTATGATTTGTGAGCATTGCCCTGAGTCATACATTCAACGTAAAATATCCTTTTGCCACCAGTAGGACATGGAAAAGACATATTATGTCCTATAACAGTTACATATTCTTTTTCCTTTTATATCTTTTGACATAGTGATTTTAGTTTTTATACTTTCATGATACGCACCACTTGTTTGTGCAGTGCAATTTTTAGTTACCTAGCAGCATTACGACATGAGAGATAAGTTGAATTGAAGAAGCATTGTGTTTCTCCATGGTGTTCGTTTTGATTTTTGACACTCAATTATGTTACTTGTTTCCTTATTTTAGTATGAGGAAGGCAACTGTCTGTACAATCCTTCATTTACAAGGTCACTATGTAATACATTTTATGCTGGTGGGAATTCATGTGTCAAAAAGTTTGTTCATGCATTTCATACAAGTAATCCGTTTGAACTTTCAGAATGTTTCTGTGTCAGTCATCAAAAGTGAAACATATTGGTCATACATGCAATTAATATATGACTGATATTAGCTTGAATATTGTAATTCTGAAATTACATGCGCGGAACTTTCTGCAGGTCGACTGGACGCAAAGTTGAAGATCCCGATCTCCTGGAAAGAATTCGTTTGACCATTATCAACAACTTACTTAAGTATCATCCAGTATGTTTTTCTAACGAATTTCCATGTAAAATAAGCATGTTATTTTTAGGTAGTTTCATATTTGTACTGCTCATGGTCATAGTCTGATGGGCCTCTCAGTAGTGATTGGTCCCAATTATCTAACTCTTAAATTCAATTTGTTGTGTTGCTTAGGAGTCCAGTGAGCGCCTTGCTATGGGTGAAGCTTTTGGAGTAAAACCTCCAGAAGTAAAGGTGATGGGAAAGACGTGCTTGGCATCTTTTCCTACTGTTTTTGTGATTGGAATTTATCTTTCTTTAAAATATTATCGGCAAATATACAATCAGCTGTTTCTTCTGATGTTCAGTTTTTTTTCCGACATATTTACTTGAAACTAGAATCATGGTCTGTTGCTTTACACTGATCCATATATTTTAATTTAAGATGAAAATGCTCGATATTTCTTTACATTTTTTAAATATTTCTACAGTTGATCAAATATTTCTGTACATTTGTTTTCAAGTGATCCCGATTTCTCAGGTTGATGATTCTTTATATACTTCCAATGCATCTCTTACAAGTAGTTTCGTAATAATCAATTGTTAATGTATTTGTTGTATTATTATGATTAAAAGTTTACAATTTATGCTTGCAATTTTATTTTTGTACAATTATGACATGTTTTGTTTTTTTTCCCCCCAGGTTGATGTTGATATTGCAACTCACATACACGTTAAGGAAGATGGACCCAGGAGAAGGTGATTCAAGTGACTAAATTTGCAACCATTCTTATAATTTGGTTTAACATGACCTAATCAGTTAAATACTCCTGAAATAAGAATGACCTAATCTGTGACCATTGCAGCTTGCTCTATATAGAGACGGCTGACCGACCAGGATTGCTGATGGAGATGGTCAAAATTATGGCGGATATCAATATAAATGTTGAATCAGCCGAGATCGATACAGAAGTAATAATACTATGATTAGCATGTTGACGCATGATTATTAACTCTAATTGTTGTCATTAGCACATTTTTGGTATAACTTGATGTATATTATTAACACTCAGGGATTGGTGGCCAAGGACAAGTTTCATGTCAGCTACAGAGGAGCAGCCTTGAACAGTTCCTTGTCTCAGGTAAAAATATTCTGATCATCCCCGTTGTCTGGGCTTGCTTGCTTCAACTTGCTATATGAGAGGCTTTAGTTTAGTAACAATTACAAAATCAGCCCCTGAGGATTAGTACAATTACATACAACCTAATTATATTTTAGGATTATTCTTAGTCCCTTGAGGTATTGTTTTACAAATTATGCAATCAATCGGTTGCAATTTTGTAGAATAGAAATGCATATTAAGAGGGTGTTTGTAAACTTATTCATTTAGTTTAGTTTTGTTTCTCCTTTTATTTTCCATTTCTCATATTTTCATTTTTTTTTCTTTATTCAGCTGAAGTTTATGGGCATGTGTTATATGTTTAAAAGTTAATTTGAAATGGGATTAGTACGCATAATTTTCAACTTTCAAGGGATCTATGAAATACCAGTTCATTAACTAGTTTTATTGCCCTATCATCTTCCCTGTCATTGATGATAAGATGCTACAGTACGGCAAACACTAAATAAGTTCTTCTGTTATTAATACATTACCTGGCAAAAATATATGCTTATCTAATACGTCTTTCCCTTTTTTTTTTTAATTTTCTTGCATTATTTCAGTCTCAGTATACTTTTTATGAAACATTGACGATGCAGGTTCTCATAAATTGCTTACGTTACTACCTGAGGCGGCCAGAAACTGATGAAGACAGTTACTAGAGGAACTGAGGAACTTTCTATGAACACAAAGCTTCCATGTATGTGGTTGTGCGTGAATAACCAATTTCGTGGTTATATGCAACTTATTATCTTTGAAGAACTCGTATAACCGTTATTCATAAACTCATAAAATTGAATCATTGAAATGGGACGAAACATTCTAAAGTTTTGGATACAACAAACTTGTGTTGTTATTCAGAACTTCCTGTAACTGCTTTATGTAGTTGGTGTATGCACTTTTAATATCGTTATCCTTACACATATATTGTACCTTTCAAGAATAGACCAACCTTTTTCTTGGTTTAGGTCAATAAATATGTTAAAGCCCCTGCATAGTAAGTAGCTGCAAGTATCACTTCAAGGAGACGAAGACTGTTGGGTTGTAAGAAAAATAAGTATTGTATCTATTTTATGGTTTCATTTTTTAAATGGAAGATTTAAAACTATTTTATGGTTTCGTTTTTCATAAATGGAAGATTTAAAAAAGTATCGAAAGCATTTTAAGTTGAATGAGAAATTAAGTATAAATTGTATATGTTAGTTTGTATGCTAAATACTCAGCTTATTTACAGATTCCACTCTATTTTGAAATGTTTAATCAAAGTGTTTGTTCTATTGCTAGTGCCATGCACGAACGAACTTGTTATTTAAAATCTTTTTTTAAAATTTTATTTTAAACATAATTATTTATATTTTTTCTAACAAAGAAAAAAACATAATTATTTATATTTAACATCTCATTGTTGCAAGAATGAAATACAAAATAGAAAAAATTATATATTATTTACTTGAATATAATGAGTGTCACCAATAAAAAGCATTATATATGATAAAATTAATTATATGAAACTGGAGCGCGACCCTATATAGAGTTTTAAGATTCACATTAAAATTTGTAATTTAGATATAAGATGAAAAATGAATGTGTACAAAAAAATAGGAAATAAGAGTCCATATAGTATGAGATATTTCTAAACTTTAAAAGATTTTGTAGTTAGATAAATATGGAGAAAAAAATCATCAACTAAGTTGGACAATCCGAAATATAAAAATTAAATTTTAATAAATTAACATTTTTTATTGAATAAATACGAATTTTTAGTTGTGACCATAAAATATGAGATTTATAGATAGATAAATATAGATAAAAAAATATTTTACAATTAAGTTGACATGACTTTTCAGAATAAAAAAATTTCAAACGTTTTGTTCATTAAATGATTGACCGGATTTTTGTAACCAAATTTACACGTTTGACCGAAAATATTTAGGAGAATGATTGATCGAAATTTTTGAAAGCAAGATTATCAAGATTTTTTTCTCATTATTTGTTAGATTTACTCGTAGCATTTAAAAAAATAATTACTCATATTTTTAAGAATTAAGATTTGCACAATATATTTCCCAAACAATAATTTTTTCTAAATTTGAATTCGATTTTTCATTCAACATCAATCTTCCAAAAAAAAAAATACTAAGAATGGTTATTTTTAAAATTTTAAACAAAAATTTTAATATAATTTCAAATAAATCACTCTATTTATCATATAGTAATAGATTTTTATATTATAGATAATATAGCTCGGTGAATCAAAGTTGTGTACGGCGGACAAGTTTTTAACTTTCGCAGACAAAAACTCTGTGTCTCTAAGCCCAAATCCATTAGTCCCGGTTTCTCACGATTTTAGTACTGTGCATCTTGGGCCCTATCTGGTCAATAGCTGAAATAGGTCTAAGGGTGCGCTGAAAAGGCAGCAGACGCTTTTATGGGAAAAAATGCCGAGCATTGAAATTGAAACTAAGTTCGACATTAATATGGAAGATTTCCTGAAGATATTGGGTTAAGCCAGGTGATCTTGGGGCGGACCGGAATCGATAAAATTACTCAATCGCTATTCGCCGCCCCCCTTTTACTAGTCACCGCCCCCCATTTACTCTTTTGCCCTTAACCCTTTTTTGGATTTCATCTCTCTAAACTTTATCTCTCTAAATTTTCCGAACTTCAACGAACGATTCGAGCATAAAAAAAAATCCGAAAAAATGTCGAAAAAATTCTACGGCCTCGGCAAAGGATTCTTCTCCAACAAGGTAATTTTTTTTTTTTTTTTTT